AAGAACTTAGTGAAGAAGACTTTGGTGTATTTAACACAATACGTTGAAATGAAGCAAAGCTTATTTATTGATATCTCCGATAAGTTACAAATATGTACATATACATAAGTCAAAATAAACAAATAAGAGGGGGCATTCACAAAGGTTGCTTAGGAGAAGTCTCAGCTGTCAGTAGAGCCCCAGAAAGAGAAGGCACCGGAGGGTGATCACTCGAAGCCTCAGTACTGGACAGAACCCTAGAAGGAAGAGGCATCGGAGGCTGATCATTTGGAGCTTCATTACGCGGTACAGCCCTAGAAGACGAAGGCAATAAATGCCTTTGGAACAAACCCACAAACCTCTGATGATCAAGTAAAATCTGACCATCAAATTCCTTCACCTGGTCAAGCTTCATTTTCATGTTTGTAGCATAGTCATGTGCGAGCCTGTGCAACTGTTTATTCTCATGTTTGAGCCCTCTAATCTCCTACTTGAGACTCATCACATCAGCCGCCAATGATTCAACTTGGCGGGTTCGAGCAAATAGGCTTTAGGCCATATTCGACACAGAAACTGCACACTGAACACTAAGAGCCAGAGAATCCTTAACAGCCAACTCATCAGACCGTTTGGAAAGAAGTCTGTTATCTTTGGAAGTGAGAATGTTCCTGGCCACCACTGCAGCGGTCATATCATTCTTCATCACGGAATCCCCAACGGTAAGAGGACCAGTAGGGGATAAGAAGGATGGGCGCCATATGTTGTCTGGAGAATGCGCATCTGCCTCTTCACCAAGGTTCAAGTCAAAACGACGGTCGGAAGGGCCATACATTTTCAAAGGTGTTGAAGAGAGAAGAGGTCGGACAAATCAAGATCTTAGAAGTGTAAGAATGGAGCTTCTACTGGTGGAGATTCAAGTGTGCTTTAGAACTTAATGCCAGCCTTTATAAAAATCTGCACTCGACGGAGCTTCAGAAATCGAAGAGGTGCCTGCTCAGAAATCGAAGAGGCGTTTGCTTTCTCAAAAGCTGGGCTGCTCAGAGACCACGAGGGTCGATTTTAGAGATCGAAGAGGCGTTTGCTTTCTCAAAAGCTGGGTTGCTCAAAGACCACGAGAGCCGATCTCAAAAATCGAAGAGGTGCTTGCTTTCTAAAAAACTGGGCTGCTCAGAGACCACGATGGCCGATCTCAGAAATCGAAGAGACACCTGTTTTCTCAGCCTTGTCAGCATTTGTCATATGCACACTCAACCTTGCAGAAATTACGGGCAATCTGTCGAAGATTTATGGTGAAGTAGAAAGCACGTGAATCTTACTGTTCAGTCATCCACTTTCCACACGCAACATCAGCTCATGGGTACCACAGATAACTTTGTCAAAGATCTCTGACAAAGTTTAGACACGTGAAGCTTGTAGCTCCCACTACATTGCTATGACCAAGAAGGGTAAAAGAATAGCAAAGAAACAACACTAACAAAGTTTAGACACAAATTTTGAAGGTTTAGCTACCATATTATTACCCACAAGGGTAAAGGAACAACACCACTGCTGGATAATTGGAAAGTCCCTGTCTGTCAACCTCTGTGCTCCGTGGCAAGGTAGACTAGCAAAAATGCCCAACCTTTACTCACATTCGAGAAAACACTCCCAACAAGATTGCTTGCTCCAAAATCGAAGAGGCACCGACCTCCGAATCTCGAGAGCCAGACTCCCAATAGGATTACTTTATTAAAAATCGAAGAGACACTGCTATCCGAATTTCAAGAGCCAGACTCCCAGCATGATTGCTTTCTCAAAGATCGAAGAGACACCGTTCTCCGAATCTCGAGAGCCAGATCCCCGATAAGATCGCTTGTTCGAAAACCAAAGAGGCATCGTTTTCTCAACTTCGAGAGCCAGATCTCCTTGGATAAAGCTTGTCTGTAATCTTCACACGCAACATCAGCTTTCCAGATACCACATACCATTTTTTCAAAGTACTCTGACAGAGTTAAAACACGTGAAGCTGGCAGCTCCCACTACAGTGCTATGACCAAAAAGGGTAAATGAATAGCATTACTACTTGTTGTTAGGGAGACTCCTATATATGTCGACCTTCATCCTCAACGGACAGGCAGACCTGTAAAAATGCTCAACCCTTCCTCATATCTGAGAGGACACTCCCAACGAAGCCTCTCGAAATACTCAGCTTTTTTTCCCCCCGATAATACCTCTGCAAACAAGCTACACCAGAGCAAGAATATCTCATATCATCAAGGTTAAAAGCAAGAGTATCCCATATCATGCTTTTTCCATGTCTTTTCCTTTGGCCTTGTTCTTACATGCAAGACAAGGAGAAAAAGAACAATCAGTCAGCACTTGGAAAGAGAACAATCAGTCAGCACTTGGAATCAAGCTTCCAGTCAGGAATTAACTGCCTGGAACCCTTTACCTGATTACTTATCTGGCATTGCTCTCGAGTACTAATCTTCAATATCTTATACTTCCAGAGAAGATACCACATCTGCTTGAGGAACAGATAGTGCAAGTAAGAAAGATTCAAGGAAGCATGTGGAGACAAGCGTAACAGAACACGTGCCGATACTTCCACTACTTTGTCAACAGCAAAAGTATCCCATATCAGCAGGGTCGAACGTACTCTAGATTTGATGGATTTTTTTTTACCCTCAAATTCTTCAGTCGGCCTTATACTCCGGAGGTAACCAGAAAACCCTCCAGCCTAGTTCAAGAATAAGCCTGTATAAAGTTACTTCTTCAAAAGCAAAAGTATCTCATCATCTCATCTCCTTTTCTTCTCTTTATACTTCATGTGGCCTGCAAGATAAGAAGAATGAGAACAATCTGCCGGAACTCGAAATCAAATTTCTGATTTGGGACTGATTGCTTGGAGCTCTGATTGCTTACCTTGTCTGTCACCTCTTTCAGCAGATCCCCTAGCTCGGCGACTTGGGGGACTCCTACTACATGGTTTGTATCACGCTTGACCAAGCCTGAAACTACAAGTAAGCTTCAAGTGAAATTGATACATTACCTTGTGCATCTCCACCAGTTAAATATACTACCCCTGGACGGAGGAAGAGTACTTCAAGAGAAGATGCCACATCTACCTATGAGACAGATAAGGCAAGTGAAGACGATACCACACTTCGGTACTTAGAAGTTTCGTGATTACTCAGCGGCTTGGATCTTGCAAGTCCCCAACCGAGGAGCTTCCCTTCCAACCAGGAGGCCAATCACAGAGCGACACGTGTAAACATCAGAAGCCAATCATAGCGTGACATGTGTCAACATCAGAAGCCAATCACAACACGACACGTGTCAATGTTAGAACAAGGCTGGAAACTCTCTTTTATAAAAGGAGATCATTCTTCCAAAACATTTCCTAATGCCATTTGTACTAAATCATTCACTTGTACCCACTAAAGGAGAGCTTGAATCTATGTACTTGTGTAAACCCTTCACAATTAATGAGAACTCCTCAACTCCGTGGACGTAGCCAATCTGGGTGAACCACGTACATCTTGTGTTTGCTCTCCTGTCTCTATCCTTTTACATACTTATCCACACTAATGACCGGAGCAATCTAGCGAAGGTCACAAACTTAATATTTTCTGTTGTACCAAAGTCCTCACTGATTTTGTGCATCAACAATCCTTAAGTCCTTACCTTTTTACATTGGTAATGGATGAGTTAACAGGACATATTCAAGATGTTATTCCTTGGTGTATGCTTTACGCAAACAATATAGGGTTGATAGATGAAACTCAGGAAAGGGTAAATGCGAAGCTTAACCTTTGGAGAGAAGTGTTGGAATCTAAAGGTCTTCGCCTAAGCCGATCAAAGACAGAATATATAGAATACAAGCGGGATGGATGAAGTGGAAGAGTGCATCCGGCGTATTATGTGACCATCGTATGCCACTGAAGCTCAAGGGAAAATTTTATAGGACGGCAATAAGGTCGACGATGCTGTATGACACAGAATGTTAGGCGATGAAGCATCAACACGTACACAAAATGGGTGTAACGGAGATGAGGATGCTTCGTTAGAGGTGTGGGCTCACGAGAAAGGATAAGATTAGGAATGAATGGGTTAGACATGTGCAAAGAAGGCCTACTGACGCTCCAGTTCGAATATGTGACTACGGAACAAAGGTTTAGGGCCGAAGGGGTAGAGGAAGACCTAGGAAAACTTTGGAAGAGACCCTAAGAAAAGACTTTGAGTACTTGGATCTAACGGAGGATATGACACAAAACCGAGCGCAATGACATTCTAGGATTCACATAGCCGACCCCACTTAGTGGGAAAATGCTTTGTTGTTGTTGTTGTTGTTAATCATATCTGATTATATTAATGAAAATATAGAACCATTTTAAACCTATTTTTCAATAGATTCCAAAAAAAAGTCAAGATTTAGTCTAAAATCGACTTAGAGTTAAGTTAGGTAAATGAACGACAACAACTCCAAAACTCATTAGTCATTACAAACCCACGCGTTGATATTTTTTAAATATACTTTTCTTTTTTTATGTACTTCTGAAATACATTTGTAATCCGTACTTCTCTATAATTCATTATACATATTTTTTAAAGTTAAAAAAAAAAATTTCCCTGATTTAAGGTTTTTTAATTTTTAATTTTTTTTTCAATCAAAGAGATCTACTGACCAAATACTTTTCCCCATAAAATAATTAATAAATGATAAATGAAGAGTAAATGCTATAGTTCTGGACACTGGAAAGTGAGATAATGAAATCTAAAGGCAATCTAGTGTATGAAATAAGTCAAGTGATGGAATGTTTAAGAGGGTGTAGACCCTTGGTGCCCAAGTAAAAGCAGATTTTCTCCTCCTCTCTCCCTATATTATAGGCAGAGCACCTCCTCCTCCCTCTCCTCGATCAAATCTTTGGTTCCAATTTGAAAAGATGATGAAGAAAGCAGTGCAAGTGTATATCATCTCGGTTTTGAAACCGTGCCAAAACCTCATCAACAGAGGCAGCATGTCACAACAACTCACAAGAATGGCTCCTCCTACGCCGCCTCCGCCTCCTCCGCCTACAACTCCTTTTGTTGTTGGTCCTCCAAAGGTCGACCCATGTGTTCGTCTGTTTTTCCGGGACCTTGGTTCCCCTAAAGATGTGCTGCAACTGCTCCCGTCTGCCTGGTCGCACAATCCCCTGACTACGCTCAAGATCATCTGCAACCTACAAGAAGCCCAGTCCGACGATGAAGCCTTCTTGACGGCGATGGTTTGGCTCCACCAAAACCACCCCAACACCCTCGCCCACAACCTCCTCCCCATCACGGTCTACTTTTCTTGTATTATCGACCTTGTCCCCCTTCTCACCCGAGTGCTTCTCGACGGCCGCCGCCACGAAGTTGATCACAAGGAGAAGTACAACAGCAAGTGCCGGATTTCGCAGCGAAACGTAAAATTATTGCGTCGTCATCAGGGGGCGGTGGCGGCGGCATTAGCCAAGAAAATGGCAGCCAAGCTAGAAGCCAAAGAAAAAGCGAGTAAGCTGTTGACAATAAAGAAGAGCGCCGCCCTGGCCACCAAGGCTGCTGAGAGGTACGAGAGCGATCCCCACTTTCGGTTGTTGCACGACCTGGTTTCGGATATTTTCGCCGACTGCTTGAAGCATGACATTGGAGTATTGCAGCATCACCATTCTCTTGACGAGAACGATGATGCTTACTACAGCATGGAGATAACGTGTGCCGCTAAGTACTGCCCCACCGTCCACTCCGCCGTAGCCCGCCCCACTGATCTGCTGTTTGAAAGCATTGCCAACAAGGTTTTCCCATCCGATTCCAATCTGCCGCCGAACAAGCAGGAAGAAGGTGGGGGACGTGTTGAGGCCCAGGAGCGGCTCTCGAAGGAGGTTTTGGCGCCTCTGAGAAACGTCTTGGCGACACCCGATGCTGTTTCTAACCGTTGGGGCTATTCTCCGCACCCTTTCATGGTTGAAAAGTATGAGGATGATGTGGTGGACGTGAATGCCAGCGGCGGTTATATGCTTCCACATGACATCATAAGTTACTTTGTGTATCATGATTACAAAGGAAATGTGGAGGCGGAGGCGGAGGCGAAGGCAGAGGCTGAGCGTGAGTGGAAGAGGATGGTGGAGGATTTGTCCATAAAACAAGGCGCGCTTAACAAGTGCTTGGCTGTATGCGATGCTCCAAAGAATATGATCATGAACGCAGCAAGGGTGTCTTTGGCTCTGGGGATTTTGACTTCTGAACTGAACCAAGAGCCGGCCTGGAAAGGCAAGGTGATGTTTTACAGCCAGAAGCCGGAGCTGCATTTGATACAAGGCGATGATCTCGAGTCCAAGTGCGCGTTTATGAGGGGAATGGAGCACTGCCAGGAATGGATGATCGATCTGAGGAAGGTGTTTGATGTGATTCTGGAAGCGGCAGTGAAGGAAAACTTGAAGCCGGAGCAGATGGTGAAGAATGTTTTGGTGGTCACCCACTACAAACACTTCACCGGATTGTGGAAGAGGGGCTACTATGAGGAAATAGTGGGCAAGTACAAGGAGAAAGGGTACGGGGGTGTGGTGCCACACCTAGTGTTTTGGAATATTATCAACCCGGAGGATAATCAGCCGGGGAATCATATTGCAAGTGGACTTGAAGGGGTGACATTAGTGACCGACTTCACCGACAGAATGCTCAAGTTGTTATTGGACAATGACGCCCAGATGGGCCCCGAACATGTCATGGAAGCTGCGCTCTCCGGACACAAGTATCAAACTACTCTTGCTGTAGTCGACTGACAGCTAGCTTTGCTCGCTCGCTCGCTCAAGCTACACTAATTAATTATCTAGATTGGTTATATAATCTATCTATCTATCCATCTGTTATTCTATTGTGTTGTATGTTAATTTGGTGATGGTGTTGATGGATTCATCCATTGATCCATCCATCTGCTCTCTAGTTGCAAATCAGTTCAGTTTAGTGTAATAACATTAGCTTTCAGTTTCAACACTCGTTTCACTAATGTTATTTAATGAGATATAACGTTAAGAACAAAAGAATATGATTCCTAGTCATGAGCCATTGCCAGTGCCTGGTTTTGAAGTTTTCATTGCTGATTGAATTAAAGTATCTGTATGCACGTCATATTTGCATTACTCACCAACAATTAAGGCCTCTATCGTGACTTTGAGATGGGCGCAAATTGGACTATCAATATTTTCTGTAGAGACGATATCCAAACCCTTGGTTTAATATTGGTTTAACATAAGATTGGAGGTCGAAGACATTTTAGTATGAAAATAAATCCCCCCACCAAGGGTGGAGCACATGTTCCGGGTACACCCAAGAAATTTCTCGATGCTTGTATATAGACATGTAGCCAGTGCCGGAGCCACTTGAGGACCATATAATGGAAACGAGACAGTCTTGAAATTTTCTTAGAATTTCTTCACATATATGCAGCTAGATTGATGTGTAATTCATGCTTTAAGTTACTTGGTGGAAATGGAATGCATTCTTGTATTAAGGCTTTGCCTTTTCAATTTAATGAACTTTGTGTTTTGCGGGAAAAAAAAAATTTAAGCTGAACAGGATACACATGACGAGTTTTCTCCCTTCGTTACTGATATTAGTCGCTGTGTTTATGGTAGCAGAGTGGGTGAGAAGGTCCAAGGGGATAGATTCAACACAACAACAATGGAAGGATGATTGGGATGATGATGATGTCAATGATGATTTCTCTCTGCAGCTGAAGACGGAGCTCGGGAGCAACGCTGAAAAGAGTTAATTAAGTTCATAAACTAGTATATATGCCTGTGATTCAGTGGATAGCCAAGCCCTCTCGCTTAGAAACTCCGAAACTATAGTAATTACGGTTCTTGGTTAAAATAAACAGGGTATTTCTTATTTATAAGATTACAATGACTGATTAGGTCCGGTACCATGATTCATGATACCGTGTATCACTTAACTATACTCTCTAGAGTCTCAATTATCATGATTCATGACGATAACTATATACCACTTAACAATACTCTCTCTCTCTCTCTCTCTCTCTCTCTCTCTCTCTCTCTCTCTCTCTCTCTCTCTCTCTCTCTCTCTCTCTCTCTCTCTCTCTCGTTTCAATTATCATGATTCATGACAACGAATATCACTTAACTATACTCTCCCAAGTCTCGATTATCATGGATGTGGCATATTACCAAGTTGTCTGGATACATCATAGTCTTGACCCTTGAGTGTCAAATGAATTGCTATGACGACATTCTTCCTTGATTTACCTACAGGATCCTCAGAAACTTGGATCTTGGGCAAAGGGGCCAATCCAATATGCCAACCCTTGGGCAAAGGTACATTCTTTTTTTGTGCGTTGTTGTCAAACAAATAGAATTTGTTTGACTTTAATTTGAAGCCAAATTTTTCTTTGCCAATCCAATGATCAAGGAACCAGACCTTATGCAAAGCACCTTTTTCACATAGAGCGAATTTTACCATATGATTTGGAATTGGTCATAGTTTGCCAAGAGAGCAACAAAGCACTGGATCAGGATCCCTGTCGGATCCTCTTTGTGGGGATCACGGAGATCAAACAATCATATCCGTTCATCGTACATCGTGCGGTCAGAAATTATTTAAATTTTAAAATTTAAAATTGAATAAAAATAATACCTAACAAAAACTGACCGCACGATTTACGATAAACGAACATGATTGCTTGATTCCTAGGTGTGATGGATTCAGATTTGTGGACACCAAAAGACGAAGTATAAGCAGCGGGAAGGGATCGATTTTTTGTTGCAGCCAAGATAATCAATGTCGATATCGGCGTTCCTCTTCATCGAATTTTTCTGCAAAAATCAGAATTAAAAACGTTAATTAGGAAAAAATAAATAAAAAGTTGGAAGGGATCAATGCAGGAAGAGTTGTGGTTGTGATTACCTTGGCAGCGCCAACAGCTCCGGCCCACCACCAGCTCACGATCTTGGATTTGGAATTCTCCGAGAAATTGTAATGGGGAAGAAGAAGATGAACAGTTCATCTTCTTCTTTTTATTTTAAGTTTTAATTATATAAAAATTATTTTATATTCTTAAATATTTCAAAAAACTGATAATTCACTTTGTTTTACCATTTAATCATACTTTTAAATTGAATATGAACAAGTTAAAAAAATAAAATAAAACTGTCCCGTTTCATTCCACACATAAACATTGTACCAAATAACAGACGAAACATGGGCAAGTTAGTCATTTAATCTTTTGGTTCCGTGCCGTCATGCACTTACCAAATGTAGAATAGAACAATCGTCATGTTCCGTCCTGCGCGTACCAAACATAAGGTTCCGTTCTGTCCTGCTCCATCCTGTTCCGTCTTGTTCCGTCTCATCCCGTTTTATTCCGTCCTGTCTGCGTACCAAACGGTTAGGGTCTCCACCGCGTGAGCGGCTGCTAGCTAGTAAGCCTCCACCTGCGCGTGAACGTAAAGGGTAGGGCACCTAAATTTGGGAGAGCTTCTTGTGTACAGGAGCCAGAATGACGAGAGTGTGGGACCATGTGGGGGAAGTGGTGGGCCTCACTAGCAAGGGCTCGGGTACGGTGGTTTTTGTGTCTATGATCGTAGGAATCATGTATCCGAGTTCCCGACCACACATAATTTTTCTTGATTCGAAGTGGTGTGATGGAGTGGTGAGACCATAAGTGGGTCTGATTATCATGGCAAATCAGAAGCTGGTCTCCCATATGGAAACAAGAGAAAAATGTGGGACACCACATCTCTATCAACTTGGAAATGGCTCGAACAGATTCACTTCAGCCTGACTGGGAAGTATATGTTGATTTCAGAGTGTATTTGCTTGATCAGGAAAAGGGAACCTACGTGGTTTTTCAAGGTATATATGATGTGTATACGTATGTGTGTGGTTTTCTCTAAGTGATATCCGCACACTCCTTTTTATCCCTTTGAACACCCAAGTTTACTTTTTGTCTTTGTATTGAATAAATCTAATCAAAAGAAGAATCAAGGGAGTGTGTGGAAACACATTTCCGTACATTAAATACCCATCTATTTACATTAATTCTCATGCATCCAGCAGATCATATAGAACAGTTAATATATTATTATATGTAAAACACATTGCTTAATTTTACTGAATTTTTTTGGTGTTGCGGTACTTAGATGATAAGATAATGCAAAAGTGCCTTCATGGGGTGGCGCCTGATGTGGGTTTTAATAAACTTATCTCCCTTAAAGAACTTACTGATGCCTCCAATGGATATGTCATTAATGACACCTGTGTGTTTNGCTCTTC